AGCCAAGTGCGAAACACATTAGCAATTCCCTCGATCTGAGAGATCTAATCTCATCACAATGCTTTTGAGTCTGACAGGCCAATCAAAATAACGATTTCAATTTGTATCTGTCATCCTAGGGAGCTAACAAGACAAAACTTAATAGGGAGTTGAAAGTGCCAGAATAATTCACAGGGAGTTGCAGTAGTTCGGTGTGACTTCTTCAAGCTTTATATATTCGAATAAAGGCATCTCCAAGATCCACAGATGCTTCAATATTTTCCTGAGGTAGATCCTCTGGTTGTTGTGTAGTGTAAAGTTGAGCACAAACGGAGGGTAAGCGGAACACTATGCAACCAAGTAAAGTTTTTTATGGAGAAACTAGCTCACGGTTGGAAATTAGGCAGTTCATGTCACATCATAATTTTGAATACCGGGGACAGGTTGGAAACCAAAGTTAGACCAACGGATCTGCTTAATGTATACGTTGATACTGTAATCTGCTGACCGTCTACTTATCTCTCCGATTGTGTCATTAAACGAAACGAAACGAAACTTGCTCATACAACCAAATATGATCGCTGGCATAAAAAACGAGAATTTGCAGTTTTCATATGGTCTGTATGAGTTGCGAAATAGTTTTTGAGGAGCAATTAAAACATTTAAGGTAATTTTCTCTGTCACACATTTCCAATGAATTTTTCTCTTCTTGAGCCTAACATAAGGAACAACCAGATATACACTTAGGACTCGATAAATCAAGTGAATCGGCTATGGCATAAGTGTGCAATACATTTACAACACTTCTCTCGAACAGCAACCGGCGCGCGCACCATATATATATATATATATACATGTAGTAATATCTTGATACTCTGAGAACGAGATTGCCCACTGGTTACAGCGCGAGTTCACTGACCGGAAACTCGTGGTTTGAACGCAACCTCTGTCCTCCAACTTCCTCTGCCTAGGCTTGAGCAGCTTGGTGGTATCCCAGCCCCCGTGCTTCCTTCGGGTGGTATGGCAGTTGGGCACCGAAGGAGTGCTACAACTGAACGCTCTTGATTATCTCTTATAACAGCTACTGTCCGATGAATACCCTCCTATAAGGACGATTTCTATCGCCTATGAACCTTGCTATATGGTGAAAATTAGGATACCTCCATCAGATAAATAAAACATTGTAAGCACCAGCTAGAGTAAGTCACTGCGTGTTTGCATGTAACGTGGAGTTACAACGAAAATCTAACGGATCACAGTAGACTGCATGCTTCAAATTCCGTACCTAAACCGGTAAGCCTTAAACGTCAGTACTACCCTGAAAGGAAGGCAGGCCTTCGCTGCGGAGTTATACATTGGGAAATGCCAACTAACCGGTTACAGACCATTCAACAGGGAAGCAAACCTCTAATCTGCATCTTAGTTGAAAAAACTGGACACTCATCT